AAAAAAAAAAAAAAACGGAATAACAAATAACGAAAAAAGTCGAAATGGATTTCGTTAATTTGTTCGGTCAATTTCCACGAATTATCCCGAAGTGAACTCGCGGTCGCGGTTTTATCTCAGTCAACTCAGATTACACGTGGTTAGACGAGAGAGGGAAGGCAAACAATGAATATTCCTCTTGACGGATGTCCGTAGTAACGAAGTAAAGCGTGCGATTAACACCGAACTAATTTAATACCAACGTCACGGCTAATGAAGCCCGCACGCACGCGTGTATAGCAACAGGTATATCCATTCGATGTTTCTAGCGTTCTAGTTAGTAATGGCGGGATTAACGCGTCCTCTATTCGCGAGAACGAAAGAGCCAACCTCCTCTAATCAGAATCGTTAATCTTCGAGCATCTCGCGGAAATTTCACTTCGAACACCCCTCGTTTCATCATCCATCCCGACCTGTTCCTCTTCGTTCGTGAAAACGAGATGGATCATAATACGTCATAATTCCGTGACGAGTCGGAAAGGGGGGAAGGGAAAATGGCGGATCTGTGATCCGAACGAAGGAAGGAGAGCAAGTTGGAGGATTCATTTGTTTGTTTGTGTCGTGCGAGCATAGAAGGGGAAAGGAAAGGGAAAAATAGAAGAAAAAGTAAGAAAGAAAAAAAGAATATTGAAGATTTGTTATTCGTATAGAGAAAGAAATAAATAGGAAAAATAAGAAAAGAAGAAAAAGTAGAAAAGTTGACGAATCGAAAAGAAGAGGGAAAATGTGTATCTTGAACGAGGAAAGAATAGCAAGTTGAAGGATTTGTATAGAGAGAGACGAAAATAGAAAGTAGAAAGAGTAGGAAAGTTGACGAAAAAGGGGGAAATAGCGGATAATGAAGAAAGACAAGTTAGAAGGTTTGTTATTCGAATACGAAAATAGAAGAAAAAATAGGAAAGTTGACGAATCGAAAAGAGGGGAAATGGCAGATTTATAATGAAGAAAGGCAAGTTGGAAGATTTGTTATTCGTATGCAAACAAAAAGAGAGAGGCAAATAGGAAAAATAAAAGAAGAATTGAGATTGCTCGTGAGCAGACAGAGAAAGATAGAGAATTGACCAGTTTTGATGGGCGTCGACGCGAGAACGCCAATCAAGGGCCGTCATTCAGGCTTAATTAACAGGGTGGGAATACCGGGCCTACGATAAGGTCTGGGAGCCGCAGGCTTGTTCTGGTAATGACGTTGCAGCGTAATTATCTGATCGGTTGCCCGTTTCTCTACGGGATTTTCGATAAATACTCGAGCCAGCCTCCATCTTGTTAACGTTCGTCCATGAGATGGATCCTGATGGCGGCCCTCGAAAATTTGCCACCCAGATTCCCCCGTAAGGCAAATCGAATTTCCCTCTGCCCTTTCTCTCCGCCAATCGCATTAATTCGTTCAACGAGCGCTGCCAGCTCGAACGGATAACAAAGATGATTATTTGTCGAGATGATACGAGATGGAACGAAGGAAAAGCGATCCAAATCGATAGATAATGAAACGGATTTTTTAATCATCGTTGATTAAATTTTAATAATTTGAACAGAATTTTCAACTCGATGACGATTGAACTCTGCCACCTGTAAATCTGTTTGATGAGGGACGAAGGAAACTAACTGAAACCATATTTTTCTACAAATATAATATTTTCTAATAAATAATAATAAACAAAGGGAATAATATAGGTTTGAAAAGGATCATGGCCTCCTCGCAAGCGGCACAAGAAAAGAATTTTCACAAAAGAAAATCGTTATTGAACAGATTCGGTGAGATCAGCGAGGAGAAGTGAGAAAATTGAATTTGAAAGGATTCCTTGAAAGAAATTATGATCTTTCATTCGAATACCGTCAAAGTCTATTTATTTACGTGGGTTAATAAAGGGAAGGGAGGAAAGAGTATTAAGATAGGGACGAAAAGGAGATGTAGAGAAGTGTTTAAAAGCGTGTTGGGCCAGAATTCGATGGAATAGAACTTTTTCTCGAGATTTTTACCTTAGAAACGATTAATTTAATTCAAAAGCAAGCGTTACGAGATTAATTGTAACCGTGAAAGCAGATAAAGATTGGCAATCTAATTTCTGAAACAGCATCCAGCTCTTTCAATTTTTAAGCAATCCTGAGAACACGTGTAAACTGTCGGCCAACATATAATTAACAAGTTTAATTACGCTCGCGCTATCTATCTATCTTTTTCTTTCTGGAAGGGTAAAGACGTCGTGTTAATTTTCATGGGATTAGATTTTATTACGAATGTTGATTATCCGAATATTTTGACAATTAAACGAATCAAAGAATCGTAGGAACTTCAACATATTAAATTAAACTTTATACAATGTCTCATACATATATATATAATATATGGAAAAAAGATTTTTATCTTTCTGTACTCTTGAAATGGAATATTTGATAACAATTTGCTTCTCGCAAATATATCCATATGGGTTTTTAGCCGCAGAATGTAAATACAAAATGTATAAAGAGGAAAATATATACGTAGAAAATAAGACGGATTTAAACATTGTACTTGGAACTAGACTTTTGTGCACGATATATCAAATATAAAACGTTCATTGTTCGATTCAATGAATATACTTTATTTTCATTTAACGATATATATTAACGATGTAACGTTGTAATAAATCACAAATAAATTTCTTAAATCGTTTGGAAAGCGCTGTGTAAGCACTTTTCATTTCAATCCAGCCTGCTGAATCATTAAAGGTAATCAATTAAATATCGAACTTGGAATTTTTCAACTCGAACAACTTTTACAAATTTTCTGCAATAAATATTTAATGCGATTAAACGTAGTGTAAATTTTCAAACGTTTCTTCTTTCTCTCCATTACTCTAAATCTCACCTTACAAGAAAAAGATTCTTCTAACTTTTGGAAATTCAAAAGTATCGAAAATGGAAGTACGTATCTTTGATGTACGTCCTCCATCAAATTATAACCTCGAACAATCTCTGTTACGATAAACTCTCCACTGTTCCCAAATTGTAACGAATTTCCCCGAACGCGAATCGATCATTTTAACGCGTTTCGTATCCTCGCGTTCGAATTAAACCGCGTGATTCATCGGTTTTACGTACACTGTCGTATCCTGTACAAAGGATAATTTTAATTTTAATCCTCACGTGGTAATAATTCGTTCTTTCGCTCCGTGTCCGATGTTCGATTTTCCGACCAGGATTCGATGCGCCGACCAATTCATCGCGCATCTCGAGAGGAGTGAAAAGTGAGCAAACCTATTCAGAAAGAGCAACGAGTAATTAAACGTCACGCGCACACCCTGCCGGCGCTGCGCGTAACTGTTTTCATTGCTTTCCCCCTTTATTAACCTCTTTACGAACCATCGTTTTATCCCGCGTGTCCGCCCGGTTTCACCGCGTCTCTTCTCAATTATCCACGCGCTCTTCTCGCGATTCGAAATAATTTTTCCAATTTTCGCTCGAGGAATGAAAAAAGAATATCCGCGCGTACATTAAATGCTCGCAGAATATTTTGAGAACGGTGGAAAAAGAATCTCCTTCGCCTTTGAGAATTAACCTCAAAATTAATTTTTCAAAAATACTAACGTACTTACTTCTATGCCCTTTATCCAAACTCGGATCTCTTCTCAGTTTTATTCTCCTCTTCGCGTTCACCCAGGGCGCTGCAATAAACGACAAAGTGTATTTGATATACATTTTTTTCTTTAATAGAAGGTTAAGGTATATATATCTTTTTCAACAAAAGACAGGAATGGAACGAGATTATCGTACTTTCTTTCGTACAATACAGACGCGTAACTTCCGCTCAATGTAGCGTAAAGATGATTTCGTTTATACCCGAAATTCTACTTCCGATCGATGTCCGTTCTCGCAGAAAGTGATTTGATATATCTTAGCCTTTTTTTTTTACAAGCGTTGGACGTTTTTTCTCGAGAGATGGAATGAAAATCTATTGTAAGATCGATAATAAGATTTTGGAAACAGTGCATGTTTCGAGATTGCGAGAGAATTATTATTTTTATCGAGAATCGTGTCTGTTACGAAATATTCTTATTCCTTTTTTCTCGAGTTCGATTGAAATCGATTGAAATCTTTTAGAAAGATTATTATATTATCGGATCAGAGACTCGTATCTAACGGAAATTTTTCTTTTCGAAAGGTGTAATTGAAGTTTCTTAGACACAGGGAAAGGACGGTGGCAAAGCTTCTCGTATCCTTTTTTGCCAGGAATCTGTAAAATTTCATATACGTCATATACTAAATCCGTGGGAAATTGCGTCGAAAATAATCAGTTTTATCTTTCGGGATAACCTTCATCTTTCTTTATCTCTTGTCCACCTTGTTCTTTGTTTTTTCTTCGATCAAATTCCCACCACGGATATTTTTATTCTGTCGAAAGATGTCCGATAAAAGTTTAGAGGGAAAATAGATTCTCCCTGCTTTTAGCCCTTCTACGATATACTTATCGTAAAGAATAATAACATACGTTGTTTTTCCAACTTGCTATATAGAATATATATTTTTTCTGTTTTTTTTTCTGTATCTTTTTGTGTTTAAAAAAAATATATATATATATATACATAGCATTGTAGTCGTGAAACAATAGTTTCAACAAAACTACGTAATATTTTCAAATCGGAAAAAATGTACGTGGAATGTAAGCAACGTTAAAAATGGGCGTGTAATTTATTTCATTTTGAATTTTCAGGGAGGAAAAAGGCGGTGAAAAATGGCGCAAAACAGGTGGCGTTAACTTTTTGTCAGAATTTCTTTCCATCGTTACCATTTGAGGCCTTTATGCTTCTCATACGCTTCATTATTTTAATATTTTTGCTCAAAACTCTTTTTCTTCTTCTTTTTTTTTTTTTTTTCTTTTTTTCACTTTCTTTCAGTTTCATTAATTTTTACACACAAAGTGCAGCGAAGGTTTTTAAAGATGTTCGCTTTCAAACATTTTTTTTCTCGAATATCATTCTCAATCTTCACAAAGCCACTTTTTATATTCGTAAGAAGCGTTAGTTTTACGGATTATTCCTCATTTAACGTTGTATAACGCGTTTAACAATGAGAGAATACTTTTTTCTCAGAATTTTTTACAGAATTTCAAAAATTTGCCCTTTCTTCACATTGTCCACCGAGTTATTTAATTTCCGATTTTGTAATTAAATAGAATTTAATTACCAACAACAAGCATTTTCCATTTTCTTCATGGGAGAGATATTTAGATCTGATATTTGAATCACATTTTCCATTCACTTTTTTTCGCATTCTCCCGATATTTTATATATAAAATTAACGACGTTTCTTTTTTATTATTAAATCACGTAAAAACCATTATATCCCTTAAAACTCTAAGAATAATGCGTCTTTACTGGTATTATTAATGCTTGGTAGTGTAACAACGAAAATAAAAAAAAAAAAAAAAAAAGAGAAAGAAAAGAAGGGGGCGAAACTAAACTAAATTGAAAGACAGGTGAAAATTATTTTGAGAGGGAGATGCAAAGAGGGTTCGAGTAAACAGTCAAAGGTATTACGAAATGAAGTTATGAATTTTTAAAAGGATCCGATACAGAGATACCGCATCGGGAGGAGAAACTTTATTATCACGTTATCCGCCTCTCTAATTACATCGACAGAGTAACAACTCTCCCCCTCTCGTGGAAGAAACTTCAACGACCCAGATTCAAAATTTGAATATTCGATTACACCTTGTTCTTCCTTCCTTCCTTCCTTCCTTTTAAACCCTCCCCCCTTGCACTTAACCGTCCCCAATCCCTCGATATCGGTGTATTACATCCTCGATTTCAGTTTCATCAGACCATTTCACCACTGCAAAAACTTTGCGAAAAGATGTTCGAGGATCGCCTCGAGACAGATATCGCCGAGTTGTCTTTGTTATCTCGAATAACAAACCTCGCCCCAGGCGCGAATAAAGCAACGAAAGTGTCTTCCTCAACAAGTATCCTCTTCGACACGAGGATTCCGTTAATGTCTGTCGCCCAAAAAATTAGGGAGGATCTACTCGCAATTCTTAGCGTTTTAATAATAATTTTCCATCATGAGTTATTATATTATTATATTATACATTAATTTATATTCTAAATATTTTTATTATAAGTATTTAATTTGTTATTAATAGATTGGTTCGTCTAAGTTGTTTCAATATACTAATATAAATATCAAAGCCATGGAAGAAAGCTATTCTTCCCTTGTCCATTAATTTTTAAATAATTTCCATTAGTTTAGATTGGATAATTTAAATGATGTAGTTAAACCTAACTGACCACTAAATATCATTAAACTCTAAAACGAATCGAACATCGATGTACAGTTTAATCGACTGCTAATAATTTATAATTTTCGTATAAACTGTAATTATTGACAACAAGCGTTTCATTTCAGATTCTTATCTCTCTTATCTTATCGTGTCAACGTATCGAAATTTGATTAAAAAAAGATTCTTTAAACTACAAAAAAAAAAAAAAAAACACGAAAAAAAGAAAATTATTGAAAATCGCGAATGGTCGCCTTATTATTAAGGCGAGGAAAAGATTTTAAGAGGCCTTCTACTCACTCATGTCATTGTCCGCGTGATGGATAACGATCTTGATACTTTCCCCGTCGACGAGGCTTCCTTGCCGTGCCAATTCACGATCCTCGGCCGCGACCCTGTTCACAGCCGACGGAGGGGCGACTTTTGTCGCGGCCGAGGAGGCCGAAGATGCCAATCCCTTTATGGCGTTTATATCCGGCCTGAAATCAAAGTGTCGCTCGTTCATTTTTATCCCGCATTGCTACATACATGGATGAAGGAAATAATGTAAGAAACGTGGTTCTGAAATGGAAAAAACGTAAACGTAAAAGAGAAAAAGGGAGTAATGGAGGGAGGAACACAATTATTCGATGTTTATTAATTATTGAGAAAATTTTATTTCTTCAAAATTAGAGAAGAGGAAACAAAATTAGAGTGAAACTCTTTTTTGCAAAAAGGTATATGTTTATATAAATGGGGATGTGACTTTTGATGATTATTCGCGTTGAGTCGTATATATATATATATGGAGGAATATATAATAATTTCGTAATAATATTTTATTATAGGTTTAAAATTCACGTGTTAATACGTTTTATTAATTTCGAATCGAACGTAGGCGCGTTGCTAAATTCGGTTTTTTTTTTCGCCTCGGTTTCAATAATTAATACAGCATGTGAATCGATCGATTCGGCGGGAGAACGATTCGAAATTATTTGAACGAAGGTGCATTTTGGTTTCTCACTACTTGAGTTTAATCGAGTTTGACCAAATGGGAAGATGGATTGCTTTAATCTTCTTAAACAAATATATAATTAGATTTTTCGAGTTAAATTTGTTTTTCTTAGATTTGTCGATTGAAACACGCTTAAGTTAAAGAATCATTGGAACGGGAAAAGTCACGTTCGCGGTGTTTGGAGAGGAAATGATTGGAACGAGTTGGGAAAAGGAACGAATCATCGAAGAACGAGTCACGTTCGGCGTTATCTATCTGTAGCCAAAGACGAGGAATTATTACGTGATTGTACGAAGTCAAATCCATGCAAAAGACGCAGCTACGTAGCTGGTGTTTTAATGAGACGAGAAAGGAGACTTTTAAAGAAAAATCGTTTCAAATCATTCCTTTTTATATCGAAATTATTTTTCCTATACTTGAATTTCGTACGAGATTCAAAAAATCGGATCGATGAAGGGAAATGAACTATTAAAAACATTTTCTTTTTTCTTTCTCTCTCGATTATTCGTCCATTCGTTCAAAATACTAATTTTTGAAATACGATACGAGAAATTTCACGGTAAAATTGTCGTCTCAATATTGAAATTATTATATAGGATCAAATTACATCAGTATTGTTGAATTTATATATATGTAAAAACTCGTATCTTGAATATTTATTATTGCAAATTTTTATTGCGATTATTGGACGCGATCGCTGTTTCTGTTTAATGCGATGAGACTTTATGAAGAAAGACAAATCGTTTCAAATCATTTCTTTTTATATCGAAATTATTTTTCCTATATTTAAATTTCGTACGAGATTCAAAAAATCGGATCGATGAAGGGAAATGAACTATTAAAAACATTTTCTTTTTCTTTTTCTCTCGATTATTGGTCTCTTCATTATTCGTTCAAAGCATAATTCACATCAAAAAAAAAAACAAATCGTTTCAAACATTTCTTTTTTATATCGAAATTCTTTCATACCTGAATTTCGTACGAGATTCAAAAAATGGGATCGATGAAGGGAAATGAACTATTAAAAACATTTTCTTTTTCTTTTTCTCTCGATTATTGATTATTCGTTCAAAGCATAATTCACATCAGAAAAAAAAACAAATCGTTTCAAACATTTCTTTTTTATATCGAAATTCTTCCATACCTGAATTTCGTACGAGATTCAAAAAATGGGATCGATAATGGAAAATGAACTATTAAAAATATTTTCTTTTTTTTTTCTCTCGATTATTCGAAATATTCGAAATCCATTTTAAAGCATTAATTTTCAAATACGAAAAATTTCAGTAAATTACAATAAAATTATCATCTCAACGTTAAAATTATTTATAATATATATATATATATATATATTAAAATTATTATTATACACAATCAAATTATATTACTATCGTTGAGTTTACGTATACGTAAAGGCGCGACACGTATCTTGTATATTTATGCGCGAATCGGGCGTCATTGGACGCGATCGGTGTTTTCGTTCTGTTCCGTTTGTTTCGAACGCGACACAGCGAGCTCAGTAGAGGAAAGGCATCGGCACGATTCGCATGTACGTAACACAGCTTATCCTTATTTCCTTTATTAAATGTATTCTTTCTTATTGCATATTCTTTATTTTAATCAAATCGTCTCGAAATTTATTCATTAATATCTCTACGAGTGAAAATAAGAAAAGAATGTTGTATAAGCACAAGTCTGCAAATAACGTTTTATTACATTAAAGAAAAGAAGTTTACCATTCTATTATCTTGTTTTGTATTAGTTCTTTCTATTAGCCGCTTGAATTGACCGATTTGAACGATACACAATCGCTTTCCTCATAGATATAAATCTCTAAATTTCAAGTAGTAAACATGAAGAAACACACTGTATAAATACTATTGTCTTATTAATTGCGTTTCGATGTAACGAACTCTCTATGAACTTTAGATTTCATATTTTTATTATAACTTTTTATATTTGCAGATTTAATATTTACGATTTAACATTCTTTTCTTATTTTCTTATATAAGCTGGTGCATGGGTTTAATCCCTGTGCAATGGATTCATATATACTATAAATACATCAAACTAATTCCAATTTCCACCATGATAACGTGGATCAAACGTGTACCTATCGTATTTATAATAAAAAATTAAACGAAAAGTTACAGTCTCAACCATCAACCTTAAACAACGAACGAGCATTTTTCCTCGATTGCACTCGATATCGCGATTACGATCTCCAATTTCGTTCATCACGAAATATATAAAATACATTATAAGAAGGAGAAACGGCGAGCCAAAGGAAAAGAAAAAAAAGAAAAAAAAGAACTTGCACTCTTTATCTCCTCCGCTCTTTCGTAAAATCCTAATTAATCTGCTTCTCGAACGAATCTGCAGCTCGCGAAACGACCATCCTTACTGGAATAGTGGAAGATCGAGTGGCTTAAGCGGGAGTGGGGGGAGGAGGTTCATGCTCGAAAAGCGCTGAATTAAGTGAAACAGGGCGTTTCGCGTGGTTTCTGCTCGACCTGCTTGGTCGAGGTTCGGAGCAATCGATACGCCCGATTTGAATACGTCCACGCGGAGAAAGAGCGGAGTAGTTGAGCGTGGTTGACGAAGAGAGGAAAAGAAAAGAAAAAAAAAAAAAGACGAGATGGAGAAAGAAAAAGAGAGAGAGAGAGAGTGAGAAAAATCGCCGAGCGCTGATTGTCGAGAAATCGTAATATTCATAATTCGCGCCAACTTTTTCGACGTTTAGCCAGAGAGAAGAAACGGCGGGATTATTACGAGGAGGGAGGAAGATTGGAAAAAAGTTTTTAATCGGTAAGTGAGAAACTCTTGGAATATTTTTTTGATGATCCCTCTTCCCTCCTTGAGAAGAGTCGTTGATTTTAATCCCGGAGGGGCAAACTTTTCGAAAGAGAAGATTGGAAATGAAACGCGAGGAAATTGAAAAATGCGTTTTTTTTTTCGCGCGCGATCGAAGGGGGGAGGGGAAGTTCTCGCCGTGTTTGTCGAGGATTGTTCGTCGTTAAGCAACGCTTTCTCTTAATCCCTCGTAAACAGACTCCCTAAGTCGATGATCTTGTTCGTACCGCGCATTAAATTACGGTCTTACGGTAAAATCTCTTTCACCCGGTTCCTGCTTCGCGATCGATTTTCTTCCTCTTCTCGAGCGCTCTCTTCTAATTCGAATTTTTGGAAAAGATATCGAGCGAGAAAAGGGGAGGGGAGGAAAAAAAAAATATGTAAATTTTTCTTCGGGCGTTTAAAATTCTTTCTTACTTTTTGACACGTTTTGTTTTACGTTTACCAAGTTTAAAAAACTCGTAAAAAAAAAAAAAAAAAAGTTGCGCGAATATCGAGCTGATTTATGACGTCGAATAATAACCAAGTTTCCGATAATTTTTTTTTTTTTATATATATATTTAACGGGAGAAAAAGTCGCGGAGATTTGTCAAACGTGGCCCATTCTGATCGTTCTCGATTTCGAAAAAAAAAAATTTGAGATTTCTATTCACAGCTCCTATCGTTTTTCCTTTCCTTTTCTTTCTTTTTTCCTTATCTGGACCATCTTTCGTTGTTGCAAAGTCGGATATACTTCGGTTCAAACTTTTAGCGGAGCAGTTCCGTTTTTAATTAGAAAAGTTTTCCGCCGTTTATTCCTCCTCCCCCTCCTCCATTCCCCGCGAAACAAAGTAATCGGGGAGAGGGAAGGATTTATCGAGGAGAAAAATAACTTAAATCGAATATTATCCCTTCAGAAATTTATTATTATTATATCGCGTGGTATGGATGGTGTGGAAGGGTGTGAGATGTGATATTTCAACGGACAAAGGTATCAAATTCTTTGCAATCTTCGTGTTACACGGTTTTTCGTTTGACATTCGTGCTCGACGTGGGGGATATAAAATAGAAGATATTCAGTCTGTTCTGTTCTGAAAAAAGGGGGAAAAAATGAAACCAGCGATAAAAACCGGGACAGTTGATTGAAGCATTATACGGAATACGCGATGGCGACGAATCGGTTAAAGGTAGAAAAAAAAAAATAAAAAAAAAGAAAGAAAAAGAAAGAAAAAAAAGAAAGATAGCGATCGAACGAAACTCCAACGTTTTATTTTTCACTCCTTTCCTCTTGTCTGTCGACGCGAACCTTTATATCCTCTCCCTTCCCTTTTTTTTTCCCTCTCTTTCAAAAATGATCACGACGACTTGAAAAATTGATGTCCGTGATCGTTCGATCCACGTTGCACTTTTAAACAAATGCGTTAATGGCGCGGGTTTAATAACGCGGAAGGAAAACGTGTATCATTTATGCGAAAATACGATAAGTGATAAAGCATCCATTAATTCGTTAACACCGCGTCACAATTAGCGAAGCGCTCTCATGCCAAGTTGCCGCGAGAGCAGTTGAGAAATACCAGCGAAACCATTTTGACGAGACGAGACGAGACGAGACGAGATGTATTACGAGTTCAACACAGTGTACACGATATTGCGGGGAACGTCGTTATGCTAACAAGTTGTGCCAACTTGGCTGCTGCGTTCTCGATAAAATCGCATCGATTAAAGTAAACGTGTATTTAGAAGAAAATTGAGTATCGTTTTATCGAGAGTAAAGCAGAGTTTTATCTTGATAATATTCGATAAAAATTATTCGAATATTATCTGAATTGTACGTTTTATATATGTGTATACATATAGTGGAAATTTAGAAATTTAGTAGAATTTAACTTAAAATTGAAGTAGCAATTATATATTAAAACATTTGGGATCCCTAATTTTTACAAGGAAAAATCGTTTATCACGCAATTTAAATAATACTTGATACTATAAAAAAAAAAAAAATTGAACGTCGATATCTAAACTACGTTAAATACATAAAAAATTAAAATATCTGATCTGAATTTTCGCTTCGAATTGTCGAAAATCAAAGGAGATACGCAGATTTTCTTCTTAACGTCATTTCCAATTCTCAATTTATCGTATTTTTCGTCAAATTCGATGCATCGCCTTCTAAGTTAATTGCTTAACATCTGATATTTTGCTTAAGAGTTACAAATATTACGCGTATTTCCTTTTTTATTCTAATTAAACTCAATGTTAACCTCCTTTGTATTTTCATATTTTTATACGTTATACAACGAGGCAGTATTAGGAAAGCGGTAACGAGCTCAAAACCGGGGGAAAAAAATAATTAACCCTCATTGTTCGAGCCGCTGTAACCTCCCCATCTTGGAGATTAACGTAATTCCCACCAAGAGTAAGTTTGCGCGAACCTAATGAAAATGGGGGAACAGCCTCGTCTCTCGGTTATTAATAACGGCCAGGTTTGCCAACCGAGTCTGGGATTCGCAGAAATTCGGACGGATGCGCGCGGAACCGTGCGAGGAGGGAACGAGGAGGAGGCGAAGGAGGGAGGGAGGGAGGACGTGTGTTCCACAGAGATTGCATAGGTGTGGCGTTAATTATTTCTCCAGTGGCTGGGACCTCGTGTTTGCGTTCTACTCGAGTTTTTTTGCCGGTTTTATTATTTCGTGGGTCTGTTTAACAAGGGAGAAAGGGAGGGCGAAAATGGTGGTAATTTTCCTCTCGCGAGCGGATCTTCTTTAACCGCGCGTCGATTTTTTGAAAACTTGGAGAATCGATGGATAAATCGAGGATTATCGAAAATTCGTGGAATTTTTTTTTAAAATATCGGCAAAATTATATATTTCGTTTATTTCGATTTTCGTACGAAAATATTCTTCTCGGTTAATTTGATTCAATTCTCCTCGTACACGTTTCTTTTAATCATTCAGTTCCTTTTTTTTCTCGAGACGATACGAATCATTCTACGAAGTTCTCGAGCAGGATAACGTTGCAAAGTTGGATATTTTGTTTGGAAGAATTTTTTCGAAATGAAATATGGAAATATTTAGGAGGTTGGAAACGGGAGAGCACACACGCGGATATTATAAATTTTTGTCGCTGGAAAAGAATTTGATAAGTCGTTATTTACTTTGTAAATAAAAAAAATATTGTTGTTACCAGAGGAAGATGGAAAATGATAGTTGCGTCCCACGAAAGATATGATTTCTCGTATGCGGTATGTGAAATTTTGTTATCCTCGGTAATTTATTGACCTTAGCTCGACACAGCTCTCTGGCAAACGTTTTGAAACGTGTGGTGTACCTTTGCGTCGATTTGCATCCCTATCGTATGATAATTTTTAAACGCGAAAACGTTTTTAAAGCAGAAAAATATCAGATGCAAAGAGTGTCAATCTCGTTCCAAAAGTTTCAGAAATATTATTATTTTTCAACAATAATTAGGAAGAAAAAAACACAATTCTCAATTTTCCTCGATGGAAATTCATTGGTAAAAAAAACTTGCTCGAGTTCAAAGATAATTGATGCAACTATTGCTCGAGGAATTAATAAATTGAAATGGAACGTTCCATTCGATTCGAAATAAAGTTCTTCTTCGGGGCTGATATCCCTCGAAAGTAGGTCTCTTATCTTGTTTCTTCAAAGAGAAAATATTTCGTTCGAGGATAGGAAATCTCTGTGGACGTGGAAAAAGGAGACGAGCGCGTAGACCAAAGTTTCCGTTTCATCGTATATATATATATATATCGAATAGAGAAAAAAGCATCGAAAGCATCTCGTAATGCGATATCTTTACGCGGGGATGTCCGAGATATTTGTCGTCCGCGACATTTAACAAACTCGTACTCGAATAAAACCTTGTAGAAGACAAGTATCGTATCGCTGATTGTTTCAGACAGATAGACGCGTAACGATCGATTCGAATAAACGAATCGTACGTACCAATTTAGTACGAATCGGCGGTATTGCTGTGTATTTTGTAACATCGAATTGAATTTTCACGTTTCAACAAAGCAGGAAATAACCGGCCGTAAATGTGTAATACGTTACACGTATACACGCGTTACATCATCAAATATTAAATAAATATCTATTAATTAAACACAATGGATCTAATTGTATATAATTAAACGGAATACAATTAACACGATACACGTATCGCATTGTATTGTATTTTATCGCAGCTCGCGATTTAAATCGATCTATTTGGGAAAAAATAAAATTTCTTAAATTGCTATAAAAATTAATCGAAACATTTCAAAGACAATTACACTCGAAAGCAATAAATTAATAAATCGTTCGAAATATAAAATGGAAAAATTTAAATTAAGAAAAATTAAAAGGAATTCGTTTTCGATGTGATTAAATAATACATATATTTTTAAATTTATGAAATTCAATTCACAGTGTTTACGCGAAACACGGAGAGATCGAAATTTAATCTCGACCCACGTTGGAGAAGATGTATAAGGGAATTAAATAAAGATTTATTAAAGTACCCCACACAATTTCTAATTTCTTCCTTGTTTCGCAACTTATTCCATAAACTCATTCACTGTGAATTCTTAATTAAAACTAACCGCGGAAATTCGCACGTTTCAACGGAAGGAAATATCTCATATTGTTCGATTATTAGAAACCGTCTTATATCTTACAACTTGTCGCGGATTAAAATTAAAGGGAAACATCGCGAGTGATAATTTGTAAACGCGTAACGAAAAAAAAAAAAAAAAATAATAATAATATACGATGCGACTTATAGAATTAAATTATGGATTAAATTCCTTTCGAATCTTAATTAATTTCTCGAAGATTAATCTAACTAACACGCTCGCGTTTGATCGATGTCCACTGTTACCTGTAATGGATTTCCCTATTGATCTTCTGAATGGCTTGTCTGCTGTCAAGAGATGACGGGTATTATGAGTATTAACTACTTCGTGTTCCTCTCCAACAACAGATACGACAAGGTAATAATAATTAATTAATATAAAAAGCTATGGATAACCGTGTCACGAATTGTGATGTTAAACGAAGAATAGATTTTTAAAAAAAAAAAAAACGAATTGATTTTTCCCTATTAAACCCCACATTATCCGCCAATATTTTTATTGGAAGAACGTTCTCTCTCTGCCCTTGTTCCAAAAAAATATTACCTAGTGGGAATAAAAAAAATTCCGATATTAAACTCGCGAATTTTTGTTACATTCTATTGGAATTTTCGTACGTCGAAACTTGTGCTCCATACTCGTTGTATAATCGTTGTAAATATTTCGAAATCGATCTTGCGATTAATTAAAAAGAAAAAAAATAAAAAAAAAAATAAAAAAACTTATCCGAAAGCGATTAAAATTACGCTGGAACACACACGTGAGAGAATCGATATTCCACTCGCTCTTCCTCAACAATTATCCTTATTACGGAGATTATTTCGGGAAAAGCACTTAATTTGCGCATCGAAGCGTTATTAAACGGATGATATATAACCGGTTACAGCTCGAGAGCCCCTTCGTCTGATGAGCGCCCTTCCTCTCCAGGGCCCAAAACTTTTCTCTATTTTATTTCATCCTAATAAATCCATCTATTCGAGAAAAAATAAAATTCTACTTTGAAAAAAAGTATTAGGAATTGTATAAAAATTAATCGAAAATCAACGGAGACGAATTAATTAGAACAAATAAATCGTTGGAATAAATTAATAAATTAAAAAGAATCGTTTTCGATACGATTAAATATACGTATATATTTTAAATTTATGAAATTTAATTCACAATTTAGTTCACACTATGAGATGGAATTTTTTTCGAGGATACGATGGAAAATCATCGGTTGAATTTAATTTAAAAATCTAGAGAATCGATATATCCCATATCGCTCTTGCTCGGCAATTATCCTTGTCGCGAAGATTATTTCGGGGGAGGGGGAACCACTTGATTCGCGCAAGGGAGCGTTATTAAACGGATGATGCAAAGCGCTTACAGTTGGGAGCCCCTTCGTCTGGTGCGGCGTTCCTCGTCAGGGCCCAAAACAGGCGGAGGAACGACCTTTGGCGAGACGACCGGCACGGAGGATGCCTCCAAATTCATCATGCTTTCATCTTCGGCTCCGACTTCGTACGGCTTCACCACTCGGAACGACAATCTGCGAGTGGCCGGCCTTTCTTCCGGAGGTTTCCTGCCTCCTGGGGGAAAAAAATAAAAATATTAATATATAAAAATATGTATATATATATATATTTCTTTCTCGTGATTCTCTTAATTTAATTCGTTATATTTCTGTGTATAATCGTATAGACGAGCAGAGGAATAATTCTTTTTTTTTTCTTTTCATTTGAAGAAAATTATTTTTACTTACGCGAATATACGTTATTTCGAATCAACGTTTCGAGCAAATTAGTGGCGCGTTCGTTTATTCGAAATTCTTGCCCCACAGGGATCGGTTAAGTCCATTGTATTTATGTTTTGATCCGGTTGGCTGCATTTTAATAATTTAACATAATAATCTATTATACCCCGTTGAACGTGTATAATACCCCGCTTAATATTTACGTTTTACGCGTTAAATTTCAATAATTCTGTAACATTAATTTGCACGCGTATATATGATAAATATTTCGAGAAAAAAAAAAAAAAGAAAGAAAAGAAAAGAAAAGAAAGATATCGTTACTCTCGCAATACCTCAATATCCGAATCGGCGCGCAATTTCGATCAAGGATGGTATTAACAATTTTCGTAATCTATAATAAAACGATTACGAATCTGCTTAACTCGATTTCGGTTTAAAGCGAATTAAAGTCCTCGAATGGGGGCCGTTAACAAGCGCACGAATTAATTAGAACGGCGTTCGCCTGGTTTACAAAGTATTTCGACCATTAAAGTTCGAGTTAGAGATCCGGTTGAAATTAGATGAAATTAGGCTCTTGGATACGACTAACTAGGAGGGGGAAGTCGTGCGGGGGAGAAGTTAAACTCGATTACACGTCCGCGCGACTTTCGCCAAGGATCGGGCGTCGGCCAGGGTGATCGAATGGTCGATCCTTAATGGTCGTCTTAAGCGTCGTAAAAATATCGCGTTACGTTTTGGGGGACGAAACGATTCGATTAAAGCGCGAGTTTTCCGCATAAATTTGTGAAAGACACGGAATGATCGGTAAGATTTATCTTTTGAACAGAATTTTTTAAAATTGCTATGGTAAAATGTATGATAAACTATTATATTCGAAGAATCGTGTGGGTAAATAAATTGTATAATAAACTTTGAAGAAGAAGTATCGTGAGAAAAATTGGAAGACCGATTCGAAGACCGTGGAGTCAGGTGGTTATGACATTTTGAAAAGGCCATTGATTGGCGGAATATATTTTTTCAACAATTTTCAATAATTTGTAATGTTTTCAACTTGGAAAAATGATCTTTTCGAAAAACGTAGCGTGGACCCAGGAAGAATGATTATGACATTTTGAAAAGATCATCGATTGGCTATAATTAATTTGTAATGAATATTTTCAACTTGGAGAAGATATTTTTTCGAAAAATTCGAAAACCTCTCATGCGTTCAAATTTCGTCTCACCCTCTCCTCAAGAAAAATCCCAAGAAAAAAAATCCCAAAATTTGGTCACGACGTTTTGGAAAATCGTTGAAATCTCTTTTGATGATACCGTTTTCGAAAAATTCAAAGACCTCCAGAAAAAGCGCATCTTGGAAGAGTGATATTTTGGGAAAAAAACCACGTTGATTGATAAAATATTTTTTTTTTTGTTTGCAATAGCGCTTTTGGAAATATACGTGGAACACGATAGTTAATTCATCGTTCAGAAAATCTTCATTTTTAGCTTCAATTTAGCTACGTAAATTATAAAGATATTGTAATTTCCGACGAATTTCGACGCTCGATAATTTCGATGAGGTTAAAATTAAAATTTTTATTTTCATAATCACCTCTATTAATTACACGACCGTCATCATGGGTATCCAACATCATTTCCTATATATCTCTATTCGACGCGTTAATATCGAACGATATATAAATATTTAAATACACGCGATGAGAACAATTATCGACTTTTCATACTTGGTCGCATTAAATTTAATTTCATCCGTGTATCGGTGGCCTGTGAAAATGACAAAGATTCGCGGATAACGCGGTTAATAATCGGCATTCACCGGATACGCGTTATACCCTAATGGAAAACTGCAATTTATCAACTACTTACATACGACACCCTTTAATTAAAGAGGGAATTAATTAATGCAGTCGCGGTATCGTAAATTATTTCCACAATTTTCTCCGATATTAAATACTCTGTAAAGAAAAAGGAAAAAAAAAAAAGAAAAAAAATTGCGTTAATACGGTTAATTAACCGATATACGTCTCGCCTCTGTCTCCAAACGTTCGACCAACGATAAAAACGTTGTTCAACGAACACGATCCTGTCACACGATGTTGCGTATCGAGTATGTTTCTTCGAATTATTTTAATCTTATATTATCTCTATCCTATATAGAGAGAAAATAATCAATCATCGTTTTAATTATGATTTTTCGATTCCAAAATGTAAGAATCAACAATTGTTCGAGTGTTAGCTAAGATATATGGATAGTGACTGTTCAACGTGGAGAGATTCGTATCTTTTCACGATTTAATTACAACGATTACGCTTTTCCATTCTAATTAATTTTCGTTCGTCGTTGCGTACGCGAGTACGTTCCATTTCATACGAAAGAAATAATTGAAACGAGATCGATCGAGATCGATCAAGGGCCCGAGATAATCCTGTTAATCGAGATCTTGTCGTTGTTTAACGAAGTGAACAGGACTTTAATATACTTTTTTATCGTATTGTAACCTTGTGGCTCGAAGATTAAAACGCGTCTCTATATTTTTTTTTTCTTTTTTTTTTTAATACGGTCGTTAGTATTTATCAGATATGCAGATATATGTGCGGTATCGATTCACACGATACCGACGTCCTCATTGATGTCACAGATGCGTGACAACGGCAATTTTCCATTTTATGACCCCATAAATAAACGAAGTTTAATAACTACAGGTCAACGCTATATCTATATCCAGCAGAGTATCCATTATTCAAACACCTATTATCCAAACGTTCTATTATCCGCATAAGTTGCTGTCCGAATGTTTCATTGTTTGAACGGTTATATTTGCTTTGTTACTTTGATATGAATTGATATTGCTCCCGTTAAAAACAAAATCCACATCGTTCCAAATACATCGTATACATTCTCAACAATGGATTAATTAATTAACGAACAATAATACGAATACGATAAAAATTCCGAGTACGCAATTCCAAAAGAAAAAAAAAAAATATATAACGAAATAAATCTTTATTCCACGTATTTCCATAGATATCTGATATCAATGATTCGATTAGATCGATCCGTTTTCGAACAAAACTTGAACAGTTTTCGATAATTAATTAACGATTCCATCACAACCTAGGATTTTCAACGAATTAAATGAATTAATTACCAACGATAATAATAAATAAATCTTTCTTCCATATAATTCTATAGATATATAATATCAATGATTCAATTAGATCGATTTTCGAACAAAACCTAAATAGTTTTCGATAGTGGATTAATTGATTAACCAGCACACGAACTAAAATCATAACAGGAATAATTTCCATTGCATCGTTTTCAAAAATCTACGATTTTCAATATCAATGATTCAGTTAAATTGGTCCGTTTTCGAACAAGATCTAAATAGTTTTCGATAAAAGATTAATTAATTAATGATTCCATCATTAAATCTACGATTTTCAACGTTCGTGAATGAACAGAAAAGAAGAATACAACGAAATAAACCTTTATTCCATTTCTATGGATATCTAATATCAATGTTTCAATTATCGATCCGTTTTTGAATCTAAATACTTTTCGATAATGGATCGATCAATTAACAAACAGAAAAAGGAAAATTCCAAATCCAATGACATCCATCGCATCATTTTCGAAAATGATTTTCGTAACGTTCGTGAATGAACAGAAAAGAAGAATACAACGAAATAAACCTTTATTCCATTTCTATGGATACCTAATAGTGTTTTAATTAGATCGATCCGTTTTCGAATCTAAATACTTCTCGATAATAGATCGATCAATTATTTCAACAGAGGAAGGAAAATTCCCATAATGACATAATTTTCAAAAACTATGATTTTCATAACGTTCGTGAATGAACAGAAGAAAAAAATACATTGAAAATAAACCTTTATTCCACGCATTTCTATAAACGTCTAATATCAATGATTCAGTTAAATCGATCTATTTTCGAACAAGAACTAAATATTTTTCGATAATGGATCGATCAATTAACCAACAGAGGAAGGAAAATTCCAATGATCATTTTCGAAAACCTATGACTTTCATAACGTTCGTGAATGAACAGAAGAAAAAAATACATCGAAAATAAACCTTTATTCCACGCATTTCTATGGATATCTAATATTAGTGTTTTAATTAGATCGATCCGTTTTCGAATCTAAATACTTCTCGACAATAGATCGATCAATTATTTCAACAGAGGAAGGAAAATTCCCATAATGACATAATTTTCGAAAACCTATGACTTTCGTAACGTTCGTGAATGAATAGAAGAAAAAAATACATTGAAAATAAACCTTTATTATACGCATTTCTAGATACCTAATATTAGTGTTTTAATTAGATCGATCCGTTTTCGAATCTAAATACTTTCCGATAATAGATCGATCAATTATTTCAACAAAGGAAGAAAAACTCCATAATGACATAATTTTCGAAAACCCATGACTTTCGTAACGTTCGTGAATGAACAGAAGAAAAGAATGCAACGAAATAAATCTTTAGTCCACACAGATTGCGGTTATATTGTTCCATTGGTCGGGACGATCCGATTATCTATGTCTGGAAAGGAAGAAGCGTTCGCGGGACGTCCGTGACCGACTTTATCTCGTAGGCCCCTCGTATATAGGGTATTAACAGGGTAGATAGGAATCGTGGTACCCTGCGCGGAGATCGATGCTCTTTGCTGGGCAGCCGCGATGGCCATGGCGTTGAGGCCGCCCGCTCCCGGCGTCGCGTACACGTCGTAGGCCGATGCCCGCCTAGGCAGCTGCACCGGAAGCCCCAGGCCCGGCTCCGGATGCGCGTGCTGCGCTCCACCTCCGGACATGGCCGCAACGTTCTTCATTTCGTCGTCGTACGACCTTTGCCTGGTCATACGAGACTTGCGAACCGTGCCACTCCGCCTCACGTGCCTTCGACGCTCGTCCTCCTCGTCCCCGTCCAACGGCACGTCCGATGGCTCTCCTAATGGAAAAGGGAATGGGGGAAAGTGTTGAAGCTGATGATAAGCGTCGATTGTTTTTACGATTGTTTCGTTCTAACGTTATTGTATCCCGATTTGGCGATTATTTATTTGTTAGGAAAAGAAAAATTGTCAAGGATATTAAGAAAAATTTTTCTTCGAAATAATTAGTTTAGTCGTTTGAAAAATATAAAGAAATCGCTTTCTAATATTTAAAATTTTCTTCGAAGCGATCAAGTTTTACGTTTAATTTTAGGTTTAATTTTCATCTGAAAAATATACCAAAGATTCCTTTTTAATATCTAAAATTTCCTTCGAAACAACTAGGTTTATTTTTCTGAAAATAGAATGATTCCTTAAAAGAAATCGCTTCTTAAAATTTTCTCCGATAATAATTAGTTTTATTCTTTCAAAAAATATAAAGATTTCTTAAAAGAAATCGCTTTCTAATAAATTTAAAATTTTCTTCGAAGCGATCAAGTTTTACGTTAGGTTTAATTTTCATCTGAAAAATATACCAAAGTTTCCTTTTTAATATCTAAAATTTCCTTCGAGACAATTAGTTTTATTCTTTTGAAAATAGAATGATTCCCTAAAAGAAATCGCTTTCTAAAATTTTCTCCGAAACAATTAGTTTTATTTTTTCAAAAAATATAAAGATTCCTTAAAAGAAATCGCTTTCTAATATTTAAAATTTTCTTCGAAGCGATCAAGTTTTACGTTAGGTTTAATTTTCATCTGAAAAATATAGATTCCTTTTTAATATCTAAAATTTACTTCGAAACTACTACTTTTATTCTTAAATATAATAAAAATATAATGATTCCTTAAAAGAAATCGCTTCTTAAAATTTTCTCCGAAACAATTAGTTATATTCTTTCAAAAAATATAAAGATTCCTTAAAAGAAATCGCTCTCTAATATCTAAAATTTTCTTCAGAGAGACAATTAACTTTGCAAAGATCCCTTAAAAGAAATCGCTTTCGAAAAAATCTAAAGTCAGAGTTGAAAAAGAGGAGTAACGTAAGTAGGGAGGGAAAGGTTGCTCACCAGCGACGGAGGACGGGACGACGGAAACTCTCTGGGGGCTGGTGGCCCTTCCCTTATCGACCTGGTGACGATCCGGCGAGGTCGCCCTGGACCTGATGCTCCGATCCAGCTCCCATCTCAGCTCCTCGCGGCGTTCCCCTGCAACCTTTCGAAACTATAACATTACGACACACAGATTAGAGTCTCGCAGGGGATGACACCATTGCGTGAACGAGTTTATGCGACTGTTGGCGTGACAATGCTCACGTCGGCTATATGTATCCGTACATATGATACCGAGAAAGCTATGAGTGTACGCAGGGAAACTGAATATGTCTGGAAAATATCGAACGATGAGGTAGCAACGGCTAAGTTGCGTGATTATTCCACTTTTCCCTTTCTCTCTCTCTCTCTCTCTTTTCTATCGTTTTCTATTTTTCTTTTTTGTTTTTTTTTGTTATTTTCTTTTCCATCTTCGAGACACGTTTTTCAGAGTTTCGTCTTAATAATTCAATGATGGGTGATTTTAAAAATTAAATTCTATTTGTAGGTAGGTTTTAAGGATTATTAATTACGCGCCTTCTTGATTCGAGTCGAGTCCTTTGTAATAATGTTGCGCAATCGGCAAACATCGTTTAATTAATATACTTGTAACGAGAGTATAAGTACGCGATAACAAAATAAAAGTTATTGGAAAAATTATTGATTTCCTCTTCGTTACGAGCCTCATTAACCACGAGCGTTTCCATTGTTCCCTTTATTAAGATCTTTTCTACGGATGCGGTTTCAAAGATGTACAGGTAGATTAATAAACAAAAATCGAAGGAAATTTTTGATCGACGAATCTATTAAATTTCTATTCTATCGATTCGTAAATTTGAAGAAAGAAAAAATAAAATTGATAATATTAATTCCTCTCGAACGAACTCGACAAATTTCGAACAATTTCCGTTCTATTTTCGGAATAACAAATAAATCGTAGAAAGTATCCTCGTGCGTGTCATTAATGTATAAAGATAGAAAAATGCAGCGAACACGGGGAAGTAGATTATTCTCTGTCAAATACAGATTTTTTAATGCTCTACTCACCCTTGTTGCATAAAAGTTATACAAGTAGAGAAAAATATTCAATGGCACGTTTCTAAAAATATACAATCTCGTAAAAAAATTTTATTCAAAAAACCCTATATTATTTTTACATTTCACCTACAATTTTATTATTCCATTAAAAAAAAAAAAATTAATTAATATTCGTACGAATACGTTTTCATTTTTCGTTAAATACACGAATATTAAAGATATTTCAGACGTTTGGTCAATACACGATGTTAAAAAATTGCCACTCTTTAAACTCGTATTTTGATAATTAAATAACAATGTTTGTAACGAAACATCGTTGTATTAAAATATTATTCGAAACGTAAACGATTTATTATATATTTTGTCGCGTTTACGTAATAGAATCACATTTGTTAGGATTAATTATCGAGAGATTTTCATTCTCGTGGAAACTGATAATGTAAAAAAAAAAATTCGTTATTTGAGAATAAAGTCACTCTTATAAATTAATAAAAATCTCGCTGAAACGAGGATTGTTTAAAGTGTTATAAAAAAAAGAAGAAAAGGGAAAAAAAAACTTTCGTTAATCCACTTTATATTTCACAAGCAAAAACTTAGAAAGCAATGGAATTTTTACTTTGAATACAAGTTAAGGAATAACTGAACTTTCTAGCCCGGACTTACTTTGCAAGATTAGTTCTAGCCTTGTCGTATTAACGTTTAATAATTCACGAGTATCAATTTTTCTAGGAGAGGAGAATAATTAAAATTTCAATTTCCGTTACACCTATCTTCCCGCAAATTTCTCGTATCATCCAATATTTACAAACGATAATTCGTGCTAAAAACGATGGAAAAATATATCCTCCGAAAATATTCATAATCATAAATTTGTAATCAGAATCGAAATAAATCAGATTTATTGCATACGACCTAACCGTACGATCTGCCATCTAATTTTACTATACGTAAAATTTCTCAAATAATTTATACACAATTTATGATTTATATCGAAAGAATAAAAAAAAAAGAATATTTCCACCAAAAATATTAATTTTCTCCCACTTCCGATCAAAATCATCGAACACGTCCTGCAAATCAATCTATAAAATCACCTATCCATCTATTCGAGATCGATTTGATATTTGCTTATTAATCCTCCCTATTCCGCTCTTCAAATTTGTAACTTTGTTGTCGAGAAACGTCAGTCAGGGGGAGGGAGAAAATTACGTCGCGAGATTGAAAGGAGGGGGCGAGGGGAGGAAGGAGAAAAGTAGAGGAAATCCGTCGTTTTCCACGCGCGAAACCGAAGGGGATCCCTGGTTATTTATTACGATCGAGAACACACACCATCCGATCCCATTTGTCCAAGGAATTATTGTTTATCGTCGTCCTCCACTCCGATCAATTGGCAACCGTTCTCGACTCCCCATCCAGTATTTCCAATGCACGGCGAATCCGTGGAAATCGCGGAAATCTAATTTTCGGATTCCGGTCGATAACGTCGCGCCGTTTCAGCTGCCCTATAAATTTGTCGTTGCATCGTTAGCCGGTGTTGGCGCGTGACACGTGACGCGGCACGATTGCGCCGCCGTGCATTATCCATAAGGAACGGTACGAGAGCTAAACGATCCTCTGCATTGTTTATTGCGCCGTTTTCGGCCATTTGCACGATCGCCCGTTTCGAAAAGTTTCCAAGTTTTTCTTTTCTTTGCACGAGAGATTTGCATCGATCGATGACTCAAACGATATATTATTATTTATATTTCATCTCTTTAAGGATGAATAAATGAATAAATCGCACAAGTAAATTACAAAGAAGTTGTTTCAAGTCGAATTAAAAAAAGAGGCTCAATTTAACTCAGGTTAATGTGTACACGGGGTGTCTCAGAAATGTTGGAACGTCTGGAGATTCCAGAAAAGTAATTACATTGAATATTTTTTTACTAAGTTATATCAACTTTCTTCGAGAATATGTTGGACTTGCTCGTGTTCTGTACGATTAAATTACGAGCTTCGTGATTTGGCCAGTGTTTCGTTAAAAAATTCGTAACGAAAGTTTTTAAGAATACTCTGAAAACGCGTTTTTGATAGTTTTGGTACTTATTCTATTCGAATAATAAATCTTATGGATGAGCCTAATATTCCTGATCATAAAGGTAAAATGATATATAAAATTCCAATATTTTTATGATTTGTAGATATAAATCATTTTATAATTAAGATTTAAAATTTAATTTTATTTTTAATTTTGAAGATTAATAGTTTAAATTTTAACTTAAAATCTTATATTTATATTAAATAAAAATATAAGTAATTATTTAGTATTAAATCTTAATAAAGAATTAAATTGTAAATTTAAAAATTGAAAATTAAAATTTTTCTAATATTATATTATATTAATTAGAATACCTGTCGAATTTCATTCATTGCCGTCCATTGATGACAACTGATCGAAGAAAATATAAATGCCACTCTCTGCCAACGTATCGTTTGATAATCTCGACAATTTGGCATCTCACGATATCTCGTCGAGCTGCATTCTCGATTCGAGAACATTGTTGCGGTATTTTCCATCGTTCATCCATCTTTGTTGACGTTTGATTTGTATTAATTCAAGTGTGAAACACGAATTAATCGTGTTACGGGAGGATTGACTTGTATTTAACTGTGATTAATTACATCACGCGAGAGGATATCACTGTCTGCGTTACCGTATATTACCATACGAGAAGAACGATTCCTCTTAGTATAGTAAACGTAGCATTCGAATGTTTTTCCATTGTTAAGTAAGACGAAAAAAGGATTTGTCGAGGTGAGAAGATTTCGGTTGTGATGCGAGAGTAAAACCGCAAATATTTGAAATAACGACAGAAACTACGGCAGAATCAATATTGTATTTGGTGAAATTAAACTGGATATATATTAGGAAGTGGGTTCGTCGCAGAGTTAAATTGAATCTTTCGATGATATATCGAGGAAATTGGCTTCGAATTTTCCACGTCTAAAATTATGGAAATTTATCTCTCTGAATAGGGATAGAGAATATCGCGTCCATAAGAAAAAAGAGCAACTTAATTTCGCTTTCCTAGACGAAATAATCCTCATTAAACCGATATTCTTCAAAATTTCACAGTGATCTCGATGAAATTGAATTTTTTAAAGCATTCTCACTGCTCTACAAGCAACGAAGAAGGAATTTATTTCAACGAGTAGATTCAAAAAAAAAGATTCGAGATGAGAAGAGATGATTGGAGAAGAGAGAGAGAGGGTAAGGAGACAAAAGAAAAATCCATTCCGTTCTAATTCTCTCGTTACACACAGCTTGAATTCGGCCCCTTTGTTGATCGCAACCGCTAATTTCCGTCTGTGTACCGGGCAAAAAGGTTTAAAGAGGCTCTGATTTCGCGACCTCTTCTTCTCCCTCTCCTTTTTTTCCACCGATTTCCGGATTTTCCGTAACTCGACCGTCCTCTCCCCCGCCTGGCCTGATTTCAATTTCATCCCACTTTCTTTCGTTTCCGCAGTCGTTTCCAATGAAATGAGATTCTTCTCCCTAGGCTTGCAAGAAAGGAAAAAAAAAAACGATTTCCAATAAATTCTTAGAATCGAATGCGTCACCGTTCCTGTTGCCACTCTTCCAATCGCCAACCCCGCCACGCTTCCTTATTGCCTTTCTTAAATCCCGATCATCGTTAAGATCACGCGTATTTAACTTTTATCTACGCTCTCTTTTATCAAAGTAAAATTGTCGCGTGACAATTCGTCGAATTAGTTCCAAATTTTAATGTTATAAACGTTCGTTTTGAAGCGAAAAAAGATCTATTTTCCAGAAAAAGAAAATCAAGCTGATGTTTAATATCTACATTTCTACGTAAATCTTTTCATTTTTTTTTTCAAGCAATTTGCAACTAATATATCTCACTGTGATTAAAATTTTTATTTCGAAAGTGGCTTGAAAACCCCCTTGGTGTTTTGTTACTGAAGTGTTAATTAGTGTCGATTATATAATGATTTATGTAATTTTAATATAATTACGTTAACAACCAAGATTTTAGAAGATTAAAGAAATATTAACGGGGAGAAAGGATAAATTGGTTAAAAATATGTTGGATGCCGAAGAACCGTATAAAATGTTCTCTGTATAAAACATCGACGAATGAGATGGCTTTGGATTTACTTTATCGCGTGTTGGAAGAGGCCAAGAAAGTTTGATAACATTGAGCTGACATCAATGTTCAAAAAAGAAGGAAAAGCAATACAACGATTTGTTATAATACCACCTGCAACAATTATTTTAAATCCCTCCTCGCTTAAATCGGAGAGGAAATGAATTTTAAATAACAAAATATTATTGAATAATAAAATTTGAATATAACATTCCTTGTTACGCTTTGTTAATAACTAGAAACGTTAATTTCGAGAATGGTTTATTAGTCCGTTTACACAACCCATCGAAACCGTATATTATTCTTTCAACGATATATGTTTATCGCGCTTAATTGGATTGGATTAAATTATAGAAGCGGGGGGGGAAAAAAAAACATGTTGCGCCAACATGTGTTGCCAATAAATTTTTTTCAAATTTATTAAAAAAAGAAACGCGAATAAATAATCGTACGCTTCCAGCAAAATAATTTCACGGAATGGTATTTAAAAATGATATTTTATCGCTACGATGAAACCTCGCTAAAGGGGGGGAAAAAAAAGGGTGTAATTATACATCTACACATCCATGCGTGCAACGTAAACGCGACGTAACGATGACGCGACGGAATTAGATGGTTCGAAATTATCCCTTTCCCGCACACTCGATCCACACACGCGCGTATTTAATAATGTAACGTTATTAAGATTTCACGAGGGACACGAGAATCCTGTGAAAGGTTTAACGTCTAAACCTAGGATATCATAATGAATACGTAATTAATTTGTAATCGGGACAATCGATCGGTGTTTCAAATTCAAAATTATCAAAACGTGTTTATCTGATATAACGTACAGGGGAAAAATTTTCGTAATTTCAACTTTGTTTTCGTCGGTTCGAAACTCGATAATTGGTCAAAGTAGGCACTCTCGCTTAATAATAATAATAATAATAATAATAATAATATTAATAATAATTCTTGGTATAAAATTTTCCCGAGCGAGCGCAGCTTCACAATTAGCTCCTAAATCCGGTTAAATATTATCAAGTCCTGCAACTCTTTCATCATTTCGGTGCGGCTTGCGTCATCGTCGGTGTTTAACGGTGTTACGTGGGTCGCGCTACAAACTTCTGCGAAAAACTCCTTCTCCCCTTCTCGAGTGACGCAAATGCGAACTTCAACTTCGTACGGAAACTTTTCGTTTTTCTTTTCTTTTTTTTTTTTTTTTTTTTTTTATTATTTTTTCCCTTCCTCGTCAAATTTTTCTTCCACGACACGTGAGAAAGATCGATCTCGAAACGTTTACATTTCGAACGAATCGAAGAGTACGTCGTTTCGAGACGAATGTTTAACGAATGTCATCTACTTATGTATCCGTTCGAAGATGTACGTAATTGGTTTTTTCGTTGGATGCGCGAAACTTCGAAGCCGCCATCCTTCCAAAACCTTGGGGACCAGTGGGCAATATCCCGACGACTGGAAACTTGGATAATAATGGCAAGGTCGCGAAGAATTTTTCCTCTTTTTCTCGAGGTCGAGCCCTCGAGCGAGCGGATCATTACGTTTTAATTATTTTTCTTTTTTTTAATTGTTTCTTCTTTCCTTTTTTTCTTTTTCTTTTTTTTTTTTTTGATGGATTTGAGAAAAGTCACTAGTTGAGAACGATGGACAAAGGAATTGTAGGAGGCATTGATGAGATAGATATAAAGGGTTCAATTTTTTAGTAAAAGTTTTAGAAAGTTTTTAGTTAAGGGAAACAATTGAAATGTAATATATTTTTAATTTTTTAGTTTCGGATTGTGTTTATTAATTTTTTTTTTTCGTGTGATTATGCAAGAAAGGGCGATTATTAACTGTAAAATTTTCGCGTTGATCGAACTGCTTAGAAGAATTACAATTAATTAAAGAGGGAAAGTTTTCGAGTGAACAAGCGATGTAATTATTTATAATTTAGCAAACAAGAATTATAATTAATTAAACAAGGAAAGTTTTCAAGTTAACGGCGAGGGATGTATGAAATCTCTCAAAGGATTACTGTTCAAAGCAACTGTTCCAAAGTTGGCTTTCCTTGTAACGAGTATCGACTTGTCCTCCGATTTCCAGTTAAATTCCAACTGGTGTATCTGTACCGGAAGGGAAACCAACCAACCCGAAGTTTTAATTTATTACACGGTTGCTTAACGAGTCGTTTTATATAATCTAATATAAAACGTGACCTCCCCCCCTCCGCTGCTCGCGAGACGATTTTTATCATGCGCGCCTTTGTCCAAACGCTTGCCAACTTTTTGTTCGTGATTTAAACTCGGCTCGAAACTTGGTTAATGTTTGTTAAGAAAGATCGTTAATAGTTAAATTGGCCATCAAGCACGAGAACTCTTGTTAAAGGGAATTATGGAAAATTATTCGCGTTAAATTATTTTATATGAAACGTCAAGCAGACGATCTCAGAAAAAAGAAACGTGTCTCGAGTGAAATTTATTCGTTAAACGTTTGACCCATTTATAACGATATTCAAATTCGAGACGAAACGTTAACCTCCATCTTGGTTGAAAAATTTTAATTTCGTCGACGATTGAAGTTAAGAACGCGTCGTTGTTTTGCGATCGAGAAAAAGGAAAACAAGGACGAAGCAAGTAGTTTTACGAAAGAAGCGTAAACGAGCATGCACGGAGCATAATACAAACAAGACAAATAGCCCATGTTAACATTCCGACTAAATAAAATTGCTGGAGGCAATCGTGCTCGGTTGCCTCTCTGGCACACGGCCAAGCGATCAAAGCACAGTTACGAGCAATTTGTTTCAATTCTCGACCGCAAACAATCGCTTACAATCCATCTCTCCAAGGATTAACGTTTCCTTCGTCGTGATATATTATTCAAGATATTATAATAAGATTGATACCCCGTCGATCGTGATCGTGCGAGGATTCTTTCTTCGTCCAGCTAAAATCGAATTCCCTGTTTGAGCGTAGATAGAAAGTGAAAGCGAAGCCTCGAACTCACGATGGACAGCGTATAATATGTACAAAGTGTTGAACTACGTTTAAAGATCGAAGAAGTAATTCTATTAAAATTACAAAAACTTTGAATCGTTATAACTTCGAAGATAACGACTTCCGGTCAACGAATAAAAGATCATTGAAAGCGCGAAACCTTGCTCTCCAAGACGTTTTTCGAGTTATCTCGATACAACTTTCGGTTTCCGAGATATCGTGTTGAAAAGAAACGACTACTTTTTAACTTACTTTAAACTCGGTTAATCCTATTAAAATTAAGAAAACTTTGAATCGTTATAACTTTAAAAATAATAGCTTCCGGTCAACGAACAAGGGATCGTTAGAAGCGTGGAACCTTATTCTTTAAAGCCCTTTTCGAATTATCTCGATACGACTTCCGGTTCGCGAGATATCGTCGTGTAAAGAAAAAGGTAATTTTTTTTAATCGTTTACTCGAATTTCTTCTCACTCGGTCTCTCTAACCTCTCTCCCTAGTTCCAGACAAATGACAGACGCCATTCCTAAAAATAGTACGCACTTCCACCGAAGAAAATATAGGCCAATGAATCGTATCATCGCCATTCGTAAACTCTGCACTATAGAAGCGCTATGAGGAAAGCTTTGAGTCTTTATATCTCGGCAACCGATCGAGATATCGGAACGAGGTAAAAAGTCACTTCAATCGCGCGATTTCCTCTATCTTCTGACTCGACGATACGTTTAATTTTAACATCTGACCTGTCTTTCCATCGCCGCAACGTTTCACGCGCATGTAATTTGAATGATTTATACTTTCGTTATCTTCAATTAACAAGGTATTAATTTGTAAATGGATCTTCCTTAGAAGAAGAAGATCCTTCTTTATTCTTTTATTGAGAACATATAAAATTATTTTACGAGCAGGACACTTGTCAATACTTCGATTAACTTAAGATTAACTTTTTCACCGTAGTCAAACACCTCGTACACACCCAAGCGTGAATCGAAATGAATAGGATGCAGAAGAAGTACGAAAACGTGGTTTTCGCGTCCCGTTTCGTTGAGAAGCACACGATTCGAGATCCAACGACACACCGCGCCTTACCTTTTCGAGCTCCTTCAAACTGGCCGGCGACACGTCCGAGTGCCTTCTGAGTTCGGGGCTTCTCGGGGGCGCCAATCCGGAGCCGAGGCCGCCGATCTGGCTTCCGCTCTGGCAGCCGAGTCTCGCGTCGCTGTGCCTCCTTTGAAGAGCCTCGAGGACCGGAACCTCGAGCAACGAATCGGTCGATTCCTGCGTCACGATCGGTTGGTCCCGGGACGCGAGCTTCCGCCGGCACACGCTGCACCTCCAAGACGACTGGAAAAAGTGATTCTCGATTCGATCGTCGCGTAACAGAAGGGTTAAATTAAGGGGTATTCGAAACAGGGCTTTTTTTTTTTTTTTTTTATAGTTATTCGACATCTGTCGATCTCGAATCTGTTTCACGATACGAAAATGAATTTATAGAGAGAAAGAGAGAGAGGAAAGTATGGATTAAAAGAAAATAAAGAGAAAGAGAGAGAGTCGAGAATAAGTTTATAGAGAGAGAGAGAGAGAGAGAGAGAGAGAGAGAGATTAAAAAGGAAAACGCGAAAATCGAAAGGAATCGTTGTTTGTAGTTCGCGTAATAGAAGGATTAAATTAAGAAATATCCGAAACAGGGTTTTAGTTATTCGAGATCTGTCGAATCTGTTTCACGATACGAGAATGAGTTTATAGAGAGAAAGAGAGAATGAGTTTATAGAAAGAAAGAGAGAAAGAGAGGGAAGTATGGATTAAAAGGGAATAGAGAGAAAGAGAGGCGAGAATAAGTTTATAAAGAGAAAGAGAGAGAGAGAAAGAGAGAGGTGTGAATTAAAAGGGAAAACGCGAAAATCGAAAGGAAACGTTGTTTGTATTTGAAGTGGAGATATTTTTATCGATTGGAAGATGATTAAATATATATAAAGAATATATGGTGTGGAAAATGACGATGAAGTAAGAATGGGAAAAAAATGAAATGAAATGGAAACAAAAACGGAATATTGAATGAGAAAAAGATATGATAAAAAGAAATCCGCAATGGGAATAATGAGAATGGTATAGGAGGAATATTAAAATGGAAGGGAATGGGAGTAGATGGAGGGAGATTAGAATAAATTGCATCTCGCATCCATTAGGCTATTAGGCTCGCTTTTTAAAAATTTTTTCCCGAGACGAGAATAATTAAAAATGACGTGACCATTGTCGATACAGAGGATCGATTCAATTATATTTTTGAAAAATTTTTGTCAAAATACAAAACGTGTTTTTCTTTTTTTAGGTTTAAAATTACAATTTCTTCGAGTTTAAATTTCGCGAAAAATCCGACGAAAGGATATTTTTTATCATTATTCTTTACATTCTTTTAAACAAAAAAGGAGGATATGCACACTTTTGAAAAATAAAAAAAGATTCCCCTCCGTTTCCTGTGAAAACAATTTTCCTCGTTTCCCTTAATTAAACAAATGCGCGGCAATGAACGTCGTTGACAGTTGGCTCCTGTGAAAGAATTAAACGTCGTAAAAGTCACGCATACGAATTCAACGAATCCTCCACGCCTCTGGTATCCCTATTTTCCTCCATGAACGAATTACACCAACTATTTTTTGTGTAATAAACGCTTTTCTCCCTCTTGTCCCCCCCTCTCTCTCTCTCTCTCTCTCTCTCTGTCTCTAGAAAAGATCCATCTCTTTGAATCGCAGAGAGAAACATGTCATGGAGATAAAGAGCCTTTTCCTCGAATCTCTTGCAGCTAAATATCAAACAGACAAGATTCGACCCAGTTTTTCATTCGCATCACGCGAAAATTCCAGGGAAATTCTCTTGGAACGCGGCCACGACACGATTTTATTCGATCGTATTCGAAATTAATCGAAAGAATTATTACGCAGAATCAGGTGGATGAATAACGAAGAGAGAGGAGATGATGAAAGACTCACCGGATCGTCGGAATTCGTTGTCGTCGAGTAGCAAGCACAGTCCTCGCAAACTTTGTGTTGACACTCGCAGCAGATCCTCGAGGCTTCTTCGGGGGCGAACGACTTCCGGCACACTCTGCAATCGTCCCCGGTTTTCGACTTCCTGCAACGTGCAAAAATTCGAGAATCGTTCTGTGAATCGTTTCGATAGAAATAGAGGCGATCGTTTCAGTTGATGGAGCAAACTTTTTGAATTGCTGCTTATTTTTGTCGTTGACTATTCTTATCCTTGTTCAAGTGTCGAATCTTAGAATTCTTTCGAGTGGGAATTGATTCGATAGAAACAGAAGCAATCGTCGTTTAGAAACGTGAAATCGAAACGGAAAACTTTTTGAATTGCTAAGATGTTGTTGCCTATTTTTATCCTCGTAATATTCAAGTTTTAAGTTTTAAAATTCTTATAAAAGGGAATTATTTCGATAAAGAAAACTTTTTGAATTGCTAAGGTATCGTTGCCTATTTTTATCCTCGTAATATTCAAGTTTTGAGTTTTTAGAATTCTTATAAAAGGGAATTATTTCGATAGAGACAAGAAAACTTTTTGAATTATTAAGATATCGTTGTCTATTTTTATCCTTGTTCAAGTATCGAATCTTAGAATTCTTTCGAATGAGAATTGATTCGATAGAAGCAATCGTTTAGAAACGAGAAATCGTTGGAAAACTTTTTGAATTGCTAAGATATTGTTGCCTATTTGTATCCATGTAACGTTCCAAGTTTCGAATCTTAAAATTCTCGCGAGTGGGAATTATTTCGATATAAACAGAAACAATCGTCGTTTAGAAATCGTTGGGAAACTTTTTGGATTGCTATTGTTGCCTATTTTTATGCTTGTAATATTCAAGTTTTGAGTTTTAGAATTCTCTTATGGAAAAGGAATAAAAATAGAAACAATCATTCGTTCGATTGCAAGAACTTTATGAATTACTGCTGGCTATTTTTATTCTTGTAATATTCTTGTAATTTTGAAATTTCTGTGAATGGAAATTATTTCGATGGGAGCAATCATCGTTGGAAAACTTTTTTAATTGTTAAAGTACTTTTGCCTATTTTTATCCTCGTCGAGTTTCGACTCTTGGAATACCCGTGAATGGGAATTATTTCGATATAGAAATGGAAGGAAGCGTCGAAATATTTCGGTTGACAAGTTTTTCAAGATACATTTCTATTTTCATCCTTGCTTTGGATAAAAAAAGTTCGGTAATGAAAATGCTCACGTTTTCGTTGATTCCGTGGTCGTTTCTTCTTTAGGTTGAGTCTCCTCGACTGGCGTCACTTTAGCGGGACCGAATTTCGTCACTGTAAAAAAGAAACGAAAGCAAATTTGTAATCGAATCAAATTCGTTAATTAAAAATAAAGCGTGGAATTGGCATTAGCATTCGAGGAAAAATTAACGTTTCTTAATTCTCTATTCATTAAACCGATGAAAAAAGAATAGGATACGACGCGATATTTACGTAGATTAATATTCCTTTGTCCCCAACTTTCGCGATAAGGTTTCGAAAATAAAGCGTGTAGCCGCTCCCGTGACAAGAATATACGGAAACTCTTGCTTTGTGAGATCACTGTTGAAAATTCAACAGGGATATACCGGTAAAGAGACTTGCAAATTTGAAGAAAAAAACCGAGCTTGTAAATAAAAGGATCCATCCAAAAGATACATTGGTTGGATCCGAAAATTGCAAAATGAGCATCTTAATAAATTTTAACGATGTTATATTATTGTTACATTTTATGATCCTATGTCTCGTCGACTTTCACTTTTTCTTTTTCTTTTATTCGAATTATAATTCGGATACGTTTGAAATTAAATCAGGAAAATTACCAAAAATTTGAACGGAAAAATAATTATAAAAAAATATCTATCTATAAGATGTATTTCTACTTTTACCTAGTAAAATTTAACAACACCGAAAAATATCCAATTACACCGTTTCTTCATCGTTACTTCCCAAATTACCATCCTCATTAGTGAAACCTCTCTCTCTCTCTCCCTCCCTCTCTCTTAGCGTTAATCTGCTAAATTCTTCTCCACCCTTCGTTCCTTCCAAGCGTTTCGACGCTTCTAAACGAAGAGGAAAAATCGTGCCCCTCTCAGGCCCTTATCTCAGGATTATTTAACGAGTCTCTCTTTCTCTCGGTTAACTAAACTCTCTCGAGCCAATGGGAGCTTTAACTCGTTATTACCGTGATCCTATAGAGGGGAGGGAGCGCTCGTAAAGGGGAGAAAAAAAAGAAGAAAAAAACGGTTGCTCGAATCGAAGCCTCGATTCGCAAATCTTCGAAACCGACGATAAGAATTAAGCCTCGGTTCAATTACCCGCCTACAAGATCCTCGAGTGTTACAAAGTCGAAGTCGAGTGAAAGGAAAAACTCTTTGTCGAGAGAGAGAGAGAGAGAGAGAGAGAGAGAGAGAGAGAGAAGTTGCAGAAAGAAAAAGACGCGAAGAAAATGTTCGAAGGAAAGAAAAAAATGTTTCCCTCTTCCTCGTTATCCAATTAACCTAATTGCCCCCGTTTTGGACAGGAATGAGGTTTGGACGAAACTGTGAAAATGGAACGAACGGTTGCGTTCAAGAACGAGATCGAGCGTTGTTAAGATAGCGTGTCTGGTGTCTGGTGTTTCCGACCAATTACATTTTTCGTTGCGAATTACTACGCGTTACTTTTCTTCGCCGCCCGAGTTTTAATATCGTGAGTGGTGAGACGTCTGATATTCCGTGTCGACGGGACATCAGCGCTTGGAACAGCGCGGTTTATCGCGCGAGACGGTTGCCGAAGATGGCGCGACACCTCGAGAGGAGTAGTTGTTGCCATTGTTTCCCGCGAAAATCGATGGAAGATTTCCCTCGATCGTATTTAATTTTTCTTTCCTCGTCCTCGTTTTCGTCGAACGAATTCAAGAATTGTAAAATAATTACGCGATATATAAGAACAAGAGAATACACGCTTCGTTGACAAAATTGGAATCGATTCCAATATACATTTAATTCTCGAAATTGATAAACGGCGCTTAGATCTATCTGATTGTACGTTTTAATTACGATAAATGCGCAGAATCCATTGTATTTAATTTTCCTTTTCCCCTCCTCATTTTCGAACGAATTCAAGAATTGTAAAATAATTATGTGCGCGATATATAAGAACAAGAGAATATACGTTTCGTGACAAAATCGATTCCAATATATATTTAATTCTCGAAATTGATAAACGGCGCTTAGATCTATCTGATTGTACGTTTTAATTACGACAAATGCGCAGAATCCATATTTAATTTTCCTTCCTCGTTTTCGTCAAACGAATTCAAGAATTGTAAAATAAGTATGTGCGCGATATATAAGAACAAGAGAATATACGTTTCAAAACGTTGACAAAATTGGAATCGATTTCAATATTAATTCTCGAAATTGATAAACGGCGCGTAGATCTGTCGAATGATTACGTTTTAATTACGATAAATGCGCAGAATCCATTGTATTTAATTTTTCTTTTCCCCTCCTCATTTTCGAACGAATTCAAGAATTGTAAAATAATTATACGATATGTAAGAACAAGAAAATATAAATGGTTCGTTGACAAAATCGATTTCAATATATATTTAATTCTCGAAATTGATAAACGGCGCGTAGATCTATCTGATTGTACGTTTTAATTACGACAAATGCGCAGAATCCATATTTAATTTTCCTTCCTCGTTTTCGTCGAACGAATTCAAGAAATGCGAAGTAATTACGCGATATATAAGAAGAAGAGAATACATTGACAAAATCGATTTCAATACGTATTTAATTCTCGAACGCACGATCGTACATTTTAATTACGACAAATGCGCAGAATCCATCGTTTTCTCGGGACGAACGAAGATATTTCTTAAAAAATAGTTCGATTATCCTGCCTAAATTGGGCGCTATCTCTCGAAGAGATTCTCTTTACATAGAACAAGAACTTTTTCTCTAAATAACTCTTCGAGAAGTACCCGCTGCAACTGACTCCTCGCATCTTTCCTAAGAACATATATATATCACCTACCATATTCTCTCTATCTGGTTCACAATCAGTTTAACGAAACTCTGCAAACATTTCTTAGGAGGACGTTTCAGTCACGTTCGTTCTAAAACGTGTGGCCAAAACGGCCCCCTCTCTCATCCTGATCACGATTCAGTCCACGTTCCCGTCTCTCTCAAAAACTTTGTAACTTACCTCCACTGGATCCAGGCAAAACGCCTATTTTTTCCCCCTCGTAAACAATCGTCGTAACAATTCGAATTCTCCAGATCGAGTCCAGATCGAGACGAAATTTGTTCCAAGTTTACACTTGGAAGAGAGGGTCGCGAGTGGTCGTCGAAAACAAGCGCAAACAAGCCGGATTACGGAAGGATGGAGACGACTGGATGGAGTGGAAAACGGAGTGGAAATCCTTCCTGCTGGATAAACTCCTCGTGATTCAGGATCGAGAAAGATCGTTCGTGGGGATCTCTTCCCCTTCGTTGCTTCGTGAACGAGCAGTGTTTCGACGCGGGAATGAACCGTCTAATTAACCTAAAAGTTATCCTTCTCTCCCCCCTTTTCTTCTTCTTCTTCTTCTTCTTCTTCTTCTTCTATTTCTTTTCCAGGCGAAGCGAAATTTATCGCCAGGCTTAACTCCTCCATTTCACGTACCATCGCCTCTACCTTGTTTTCACGCCCCCAGTCGTCTCTAACGGCCCACTTTCCCCTCCGTCTAATTGCCACGTTGAAATATCGCGACAATAGTTTCGATTTGCATCGTTGATCCGGATTATCCAAGGAAGGAAAAATTTCGAAGTTTCGAAATAAGGGCTTTTGGCTTTTGAGACGCGATTCAGGATTATTTATTAGTTGAAGTTAGAAAGAATAAAGTTAATATAATTTATCGTTGGAAATAATTGGAAATAATTATATGAGAAGCGGATCGATTATAATAGAATAAATGTTATTATCGATTATGTGAAGTAAGTTTATTCCAAATTTTTGATTATTTATTTTCTTCAAGTCTGTTGTGATTCGTGAAAGAATTGTATTAAGTATATCGATTTAATGTATATATATTTATTTATTGCATTATAGAATGTTAAAAATGAATTTAAAAACTTCAATTTTGCAGATATATTAATAACAATAGGTATTATGGATACAATTCGTAAATATATTCACGTGAATGGAATGATGATTGTGTAAAATTTCGTTTATAGAATTGGGTTGGGCATTGATTATTGCTCGAAACCGGTGTAATCAACCGTCGCTGATTGCGATCTATTACGGATTTTGTATCCCATACGATGCACGATTTTTAATTAAAAAAGTTCTTGATGAGGTAAGGAAGTTGAGTTGGGATCGACGATAAAAAAAAAAAAAAAAAAGAAAAAAATACCATTGTTACGAGATAGGAAACGGACGATTCTCTCTTGTCCACGTTTTTTAATTATGCGAAAAAGAAAGGGGGAGAGAAGAGAAAGAGAAAAAGAAGGATGATGGTGATGATGATAATCTAAGAGCTGAAGAGACGATTCTTTACCGTTCCAGGAATTAATATAATTCTCGAGTATCTCGAGGATGGCTTTTAATAGTACTCTCGTCTATTTTTGGTTAACGATCCTGCGTTCAACAGAGTGTTCTTGGAGATAGGAAATAAGACTCGTTGAGAATTATAGAATGAAATATATATATATATTGGAAAATCCCATGGATCGAAATATTTTCCACTCGCTGTTTCGAAAAACGCGTGTTAGAATCTCTAAATGAATTTAAACGTTGTCAAAGCCCTCGTTAGCAACGAACAATTGACCGATTAAATGTACGATGTAATTGTCCGTGGTATTTAAATGCTTCGTAATTGTATCGCGATTAATCATAATTAATATCTCAATGGGTTCCCTTTTTGTTACGTTATTTGTAGAAACGTGATAATTATACCCGTTATCGCGACGAAATTTATTCGTACGTACGTTATTCGTGCATAGGTTTCGTTTCTCGACCGCAACCGTCGGAAAAATTAATAACGGAGTAAATATTTATACCGGAAGAAAGAAAAAGGAAGAAACAATTGTACGAGAGAAATTTTTACTTCTTCATCTCTCATCGAGCAAAATATCCTTTTATTTAAGATCTCGTCCGGGTGTAATTAAATTTTTTTCCCCCTCCAACAACTTTTTTTTTTTTTTTTCAGATAACGCATTACGCATGCATACGAAACTATGAGATGAGAAAATTCACTTCGTTCCCCCTTTTTTATCGAGTTAATGAATATTTTTCTCGGTCTCGAAGTTCTATAAGCCAATTAA